CGAGAGAACACAAATTTACTCATTCTTCAACTTCCGTTGGAATGTAGTTAAGCAAGATCATACCTCTATGGACAGTAATATTACATTAGAAGATGTTGCTGTCGAATCAGACTCTTTTCACATCTTGGAGGAAGACAAGAGCAAATCCAGTGTTGTGGACCAAAACCAGGATTTCAAATCTACGAGAGAGACCGTCGATGACTACATCAGTTTGGGTGCCGATTCAGAAGCAATATCTACTACAGGATCAGAATCTGAGACAGACATGTTTCTGACTGATAGTAGTATCTCCATAGAGGAGCTGTACGAATACGACAATGATCAGAACATACGGAGAAGCACGAGTTGGTCTGAGCTCAATGAAACGTCAGGGTGGCAGGATGACTTTCCAAGTAAAGAACTCGTGGATAAACTTACCCGCAGGTTCCAAATCAGCTCTAAAAGAGAGAGGGTGGAGGTGCTATGTGGTCGGAATACACCCAGATGGGGATATTAGTGTTCAACCAGACAGGGTTACTAGTGTTATTTTAGTTTAGGTTATTTTAGTTTATATCAGAATCTTTAAACTTTGTTTGTACCGATCAGGGTTTTAGATCGGCACATGTCTCAGAAATAATTAGATTCTGAATATAAGGTTTAATGAATAAAAGAACAACGTCTCCCTCTGAACAGAGGGAGAACGTTGAGATACTGTTATTCCACGTTTAACTACATTTTTAACAAACTAATGAAATTGTTCTTTTATTCATCAATCTAACGAACAAACTAAATCACAGCTCAGTAAGATTTTTTTAATCAAGAATAGAGAATAATACGGAGGAAACAACAAAGTGAAAGACTACATATCTCAAGCAAGTTTCAATAGCAAGAAAACTCTTTTTCTTGAATGAAATCACAAGAGTTGCGTCACTCCGAAAAGCGGATCGAACTATTAACCACATCATGTTAATAATACATTTGCTCCTATGAGAGCATTGCTCCGAAAGCCGATACCTAGGAGAGAATTGCTCTAAAAGCCAAGCAACATTAATTGATCGGCGTAAGAGCGAGTAGCAGAGATTATGATATAAAACAATATCTAAGTGTTAAAGTGTTCTGCAAAAGGTTTCTCATATTGACCATATGAGTTTTCACCCTGGCCAACCCAAGCGGTTGAACACTAGCACAAACACCTTGAGTATAAAACCAAAGGTGAGGTTGTAAATAAAGATATACAATTACGCTATATTCAAAGACTACCATCTTACACTCTAACAACTTATTAGGTCACTCTGCTCTTTCGCTACCAAAATGCCTACTGTCAACTCTAAGGATATCAAAACCCACCACCATTATCGAGTCGAAAGTCGACTGGCTTCCCTGGAAAACTCAAACCATCCTATCTGTGAACTGCGAAGGAATCTCTGATATCCTGACCAACCCGGCAGCTCCTCGAGGCAGCCGTTGGACTTGTAAGCAAGTTGCTGAAGCATATCGGATCATCAACCGTACCCTGTCTCCGCTACTGCAAACGGAGATCAGCCAATTCATCGAGTCCCCTTGGGATGCATTTGCTGCACTGCAACAAAAGTTTGAAGCTCTGACTGAAGATGATCTCCAAAACTTGGAAGCAAAACTGAATCGCATCAC